ACAGGACTGATACTAACCAACCACACACACACCCCTTTCCGTGCCCATCTAAAGTTGACCAACGTACACGCACGAGTTAAATCAAATTACGACGATCGAACATCAGAAGAGTAGGTGACAGTTGGTGCGTTCCGAATTTCAATTTTTCCAATGGTCTCATAATTAGAATGAAATAAGAATGTGCGTCGTAGCTTCGAAAACTAGAAAAATGCTTCAGCTCAGCAGTCGTTCGCGTAGTTGTAAAAGCGCGTCGATTTGCGGAGAACAGTGCGTAGTACACACATAACATACGCGCAATAAATAAAACATAAATCTCGCCTTACTTTCTGGACGCCCACAACTAACACGGTCTGCGGCGGAGATAAAAAAAAAAGAATAACATTGACCAGTTATATTAGAGTTACTTGTTCCAACAACATGAAACGTTATTTCTGTTGTGAAGGAAAAATGATGACACATTATACACGCAAAGCAACGTTTGACATGCACACATCTCTCTGGTCTGTTATTTATTTGTTTAGTTTATGCTTTCGTTGGTTGTTTTTTTTAGCTTTCGTGTGTTTGTGTGTTTGTTTGTGTGTATGTATGTTTGTTTCCAGGTGGGAAGGGGGGGGGGTCGTGACGTGCAGCCAATGGAGGCCACATAATACGTGGCGGGCGATACAGGGCACGGATGGCAATTCACAGTAGGAGACAAGATACAATGTAGATGATAATAACACCAACGAAATGACAAACGCCCCCCCTCATTATAATATAAGCTCTCCGCGCGTTCCCCGGTGAGTCTAGTAGAACAATGCGCGGCTGATGGCTGTGTAAGGAGACACGGGGGCCGAGGACGGTGCACTTGTAACATTTCCCGTTTCCACGCCACTTCACATCGGGGACGCCGCAGTCGCCACTACTGCTGCTGGTTTAAATAACGTGGCTACTTGGTCGACCAGTCGGACACGCACGATCGAGTCGGCTCTGATCGAGTCGAAGCAGAACGTCCCCTCTGGACTTAACGTGTTGCTTATCCCTATCATTTTGCCCCCCCCCCCTCCCCCCTCCAAACCCACAAATCTGGTTTTTCGCTTTAGTAAGCGTTTTTCCTCACTTGCAGACACAATAAGGTCATAATAAGTGCCGAAGATTAGAGGTGTTACAAGAGAGTAACAAAAACAAAAAAGAAGGAGGGGAGATAAGGACAATAGATGTTTGATAGAAAAGAAGAAACAAACCACACCAGACCACCCACCAAATCTTTTCCCTCAAGTAACACAACAGTGATGAAACAAAACAAAAATAAAGCGGCTTCGGTCAAAAGTACCTGTAACACTGACCATGAGAAATATAATTATTGCAAAGATCAGATAAAACTATGAAGGCGTGGGATGGTGAGTGTTGATGTTCCTATGTATGCGCAGCCTACGTATGGTAGCTGCTTTCACTACACAGGTCCCTTTTTAACGGGTTGGCACACCGAAACTTACACTTACAAGAACTCTGTTGTTTTAGTTCGTTATGCTAGAGGTTTTACGGCACTCGCAACTGCATAAGGTCACATGAGCGCTAGAAAATTAGAGGTGTTACAAGAGAGTAACAAACATAAAAAAGAAGGAAAGATAAAGACGATAGTTTGATAGGAAAGAAGGAGCAAACCACACCAGAGCA